ACTTCATCTTTGTGGATTGTTTCATTGAGGATACAATGGTATAATTGGTTTCGTCGATTAATGAGTGTGTATTGACAAGATTGGATAACTTATGTACTTGTAGGTGTCTTGTTTATTAATGTTTCTTCAATTTAACATAGTGTCACGATTACCACTAATATGGTACCATTTTTTATGGCAGGTATCAATAAAGGAATTATAAATTCCTGTTTTCCTCTGTAACAAAGCCCGTTTTTAGTTAAATTATATAATAACATCATAGTCAGTCTGCGTGAACCGACCGAAAGAAGTCAGAAAAGTTCAGTACTTGGTTAAAATGTACATTCGTAGATTCAATGCTTAATGCAAAATGAATATACTGTACAATTGATAAATAGTTAAATATATTGAATATGGTTAGACGTACGTAACGGTCGTTTCATCCACGATGAATATCAACTGTATTTCGGATTTTGCATACCTGCTTATCGTTACTGCTTCTGGAATTACTTCATGTATCTTAGAGAGCTGTACATATACTCGTCATGTTCATACCATACTTATAATTTATATTATCGATTGAGTATACGCACAAACATCTGTGCATGTGTTTCATTTGGGGATATTCAAGAGCTTTCAAATTTAATATCCGTTGTTTGGAAACATGGTAATTAGAACGATTGACAACACTGCACTAAGCATGATATTAAATAATATATTCCTTTCCCAAAACATCTGTCTCATTGTGCTCATATTTATGCAATCCAATGAATTCATGTCGAAATGTCATCTTGTTGCTCGATAAAAATTACAAACAAATGCATGTATTAGGTTCGCATACTCTTTTATACAGACATCACGTTCTAACCTAACGACCGTTGTTTTAATAATTACAATTATACTATAAGCGAGCTTATTCCTAATTGGGAAGCGCTTCCAATGCTACATGACAAGAATGAAAATACTAATTGTTTCGATGGCCATATGGGACGCGTAAAAGATCAATTCAATTTATTTCTAGTAATATATTCATGCTATTATTATCAATACTCAACAAGGGGTGGTTTTTCGCTGAATGTATGATTTCTGACAAATTTAATGAATACAGGTAATATGGGATAGGGTAATTAGGGTCGTATATATATCAAAATATATATTGTATATATATTTCTTCTGAATTATTATGTAAATAAATAACATATAACTATCATTTAATCATTTATGAATTCGTCTCGATACAAAGTTTCAAAGCAGGAGTGACATGAAATTGAGCGAATGTAATATTGTCTTTCAAAATACTCCTATTCCAGTTACATAGTGCGTCTAACTTAGTGAACGTCTTAGTTGCTTCATTTCCATAACTAGGTTACATTTTGAAGACGTCTCCAATGCTAAGTTGTCATCGTTCCTTTGTTGCGGAACGCCATGAAATAATGACGTTACCGACAAATAAGTTGAGTAATCTAAATACAGTTTGCCAGTCCTCGTTGCGTTCGTCATAGTCATGTTAGAGTCAACATTGGAATTAGAATAATTGACGAATCACGTAAAAAGGTACAGTAAACTATCTAGGGCATTGGCTAATGTGTGTTTAATATACAAACACAGCAGACTTATTGAGGAGTATTCATCCGTGACGATGCATAATTTCTACTTGAGCTACAAGTAAGTACATATCTTCCTGACTACTGAGTATATGTACTATTTAATTCTAAACACATTAAACCTATCTACATTGAACACAGATTGTACATACATGGGAATGTAGGTTTGAACGAAATATTGGCATAACTGTGTGTAACCATTTTGTCTGTACAAGTAAGACGATTTGTAAATTAGAATCATGTGTATTTAAGGTATAAATTCCGGGGAAAAACTTACCCCCCCCCCCGTGATAGACAGGACAAGTGGATGCTACAAGAAACAAGCATAATATTATTAAGCATACATGTCTGTCAACTACAAATATACAAGAGACGTTCCATTATCGACTCATTAAAAATATAATAATACTATAGAGTGCAATCTCAGATGATAGCAAAATGAATTAAGCATAACTGGATCTACAAAGAGTGATTCCATACCGAAAAATGGGGTGGAAAAGATGCAGCAAACCATTCCAAGTACATAATGTTAATGCTATGAAACAATTTTAAAGAGTAATTACAATGTCGTTACAAACTGGTCAAGTCAAGAGGCAAGCGAGTACACGCTGTACATAAATGTTACACATTATAAAAGTGTAAATTTTACACATTATAAAAGTGTTTGATCAAAACTAGCTACAGTTCATGTTTCACATTATTAAAGTGTCAAAAATAGCTACAGTTCATGTTTCACATTATTAAAGTGTCAAAACTAGCTGCAGTTCATATTTCACATTATTAAATTGCTTGGTCAAAACTAGCTGCAGTTCATGTTTCACATTATTAAACTGTTTGGTCAAAACTAGCTGCAGTTCATGTTTCACATTATTGAATTTTTTAGTCAAACTAGCTGCAGTTCATGTTTCACATTAATAAATTGTGTTGTCAAAACAAGCTGCAGTTCATGTTTCACATTATTAAATTATTTGGTCAAAACTAGCTGCAGTTCATGTTTCACATTATTGAATTATTTGGTCAAAACAAACTGCAGTTCATGTTTCACATTAAACTGTTTTGTCAAAACTAGCTGCAGTTCACGTTTCACATTATTAAAGTGTTTTGTCAAAACTAGCTGCAGTTCATTTTTCACATTATTAAAATGTTTTGTCAAAACTAACTACAGTTCATGTTTCACATTATTAAAGTGTTTTGTCAAAACTAGCTACAGTTCATGTTTCACATTAATAAATTGTTTTGTAAAAACTAGTTGCAGTTCATGTTTCACATTAATAAATTGTTTTGTCAAAACTAGCTGCAGATCATGTTTCACATTATTAAAGTGTTTGGTAAAAACTAGCTGCAGTTCATGTTTCACATTAATAAATTGTTTTGTGAAAAGTAGCTACAGTTCATGTTTCACATTATTGAATTATTTGGTCAAAACTAACTGCAGTTCATGTTTCACATTATTAAAGTGTTTACTCAAAACTAGCTGCAGTTCATGTTTCACATTATTAAAGTGTTTGGTCAAAACTAGCTGCAGTCCTGTTTCACTTTATTAAAGTGTTTGGTCAAAACTAGCTGCAGTTCATGTTTCACATTAATAAATTGTTTGGTCAAAACTAGCTGTAGTTGATGTTTCACATTATTAAAGTGTTTTATCAAAACTAGCTGCAGTTGATGTTTCACATTTTTGAAGTGTTTTGTCAAAACTATCTGCAGTTCATGTTTCACATTATTGAAGTGTTTTGTCAAAACTATCTGCAGTTCATGTTTAACATTATTAAAGTGTTCGGTCAAAACTAGATGCATTTTATTTTTCAAATTATTCAATCGTTGGTGCCCAACCAACGAAAGTAATGAGTGCTATGCAAACCGCACTATATATAATACGATAGACAGAAACGGATATCTAATTAAATCAAAACTGTCAGCAAAAATGAGTGATTAAAATATAAATAAATAATACACAAAATGACAAACACACAAAAGCCATATTTTATCTATTTTCGTATACTACTAATGTGATACAAATATATGACTGTTTTGGCATTTTAGTTCTACAATTAACAAGATCAACCCACATACCTTACCCGGAGTTTTCTGTAGAGCTTTTAATTACCTAATATTAGTTTTAAAATATATAGCCATAGTTTGATATTACAAATATTACGTTTTGTTATAAATTAAAGAATGCACAATTCGACGCTCAGTTTGCATAATACTTAAATTTTAATTGCAATCACACTAGGTGTTATGTGAATATTGGACACATTTCCGTCATTTTTGCTCATGTCTATTTTCTCGTATCGAATTTTAGGATTTTGGTCTCCCTATATTTTATTTCTATTTTTAATCAGCAAGAATATTAGTACTTGACTCGTTGGTATTATATGTAATACAGCCCTGTCTTTCAAGTTGTCACGTTATCAAAAGTTTAATATTTGTGGTATGTGACATCGTCTCATTGTCATCAAGACGGCCACTGCCCCACATATTTTTCTCATTACAGGCATCGGATGATAGCAAACGCTGCCCAGTGGGAGGTGAATAATAATGGTGGAATAGTGTCTCAATAATTCATTTGAAAAAACTATTTGTATATCGGTTTCATTATCAACAATTTAATATTTCATTAGCATTATATGCGTATGAATTAATAAATTTTACATATAACTAAAATATTGTTTAGCTTCTCATTACGTGAGCTGATTGTCCCTTTCATCGGATTTTTGTTTATGAATAAATTATGAGTGTGCTTTAATTCAAAATACATTACATCATGACTTGATAGAAACGATCTGTTTAATGTTCAAGACATTTCAGTACATTGTCGCCTAATAAGGCTCGCATGACTACTAATTTGAATGGCAGTTCCCACACTATCGTTTACGTGTATGTTTTTAGGATTTGCGTATTCCATTCTTTCAGTGACATCATCGTAGTAATATTTCAAATGTCAACTACGGATATCTGCTACGAAAATTTTAACAGATGAATGCATTGACATAAAGTAAGGTTAAAAGTCAGCAGGGCTACAGATTATTTCCATCATTCTTATTCTGAATCGTGTTCGTTGTGCGCATGCGCTGTCAGCTGTTAAACACGGTGAATAGACAACTGCCCGATGGCACAGAAGCGATCTCAAATTGGCGATGAAGAGATGGACAACTAATCACTGATTACGCTTTTTTTTAGAAAACGCGGGTGGAGCTTTGAGATCGGCTTATACATATATATATATATATTTATAGCGTTTATTGAAAAACACATTGCCGGTGTACCATTCCAGATGCATGACTTTTGCAAATAACTCACCGAGATATTCAGACATTTCGCTCCATTCCGATAAACGATCGTACAGCACAGGATATAAGTCATATGACTGAAGATTTGATCCTATGCACATTTACAGCCAGCTGACATGAACGCACAATGTTTCACTACAGTGTAGAAAGGTTTAACAACGGTAACGAATCTAACGCATCCTTGTTCCTAGATAGCGCTTCATTTGATCGGAATCCTGTCCATATCATCGCGTCAGGCGTCATTCTTGGAACCATCATTCTGTTTACTCTTACCGGTAACACCTTGGTGGTAATTGCTGTACTGGGATACCGCCGTCTACAGACTGTGACTAATTTCTTACTTTTATCACTAGCGATTGCCGATCTTACAGTTGCGCTCTTGGTGATGCCATTTTCGCTTGTGTACGAGGTGTACGGCAGTTGGACGTTCGGTTATATATTCTGTCATTTCTGGCTGTCGTGCGATGTGATGTGTTGTACAGCCTCCATTCTTAACCTGTGTATCATATCACTTGATAAGTACTGGGCAATTACAAGACCGTTAACCTATAAGGTAAACTCTAAACGGCGAGTGATCAATATGGTAGTGTTCGTGTGGGGATGCTCCGGAACTATCTCGTTTATACCGATTTTCATGGGATGGTACGCTGATAGCAACCACCCCGTTTTACACGATCCATACTTTTGTGGTCTGCAGGTCAACCACACTTACGCTATAATATCTTCTCTGACCTCTTTTTACGTACCCTTGCCTATTATGCTGTTTACATATAGTCGGATTTATTCAGTGGCACGGTTTCAAGCTGCGAAAATTCGCAACGAGCTCAAGCACATTCACTGTTTCAACCCAAGCCAGCGACAGACTGTGCGTCGACAGATCCGTTCTCTGGTCCGTGAACACAAAGCCGTTCGCACTCTCGGTATCATCATGGGGGTTTTCATATTTTGCTGGTTGCCGTTCTTTTTGATGTATCTCATCCTACCTTTTTGTCCCAAGTGCAACATGAGCGACATGCTTAAATCTGCGTTAACTTGGCTAGGATACGCCAACAGTTTCCTGAACCCTCTTATTTACGCTTTCTTTCATCGCGATTTCCGGAAATCATTCAAGCTGATTTTGTGTGCAAGGAATATAAGGTTTAAGGGCGGGGCTTTCCAACAGGATAACTCAAATCTTATGTCACGCGACACCATGTCTCTCGCAAACTCCAATAACGCGAACGATGACTCAAGCCTTCGTCTCTCTGCTATTGACAACGTAAACAACTGCACATCAACCACGTAACCAGGGGTAAAATGTTTACTCTCTCTCTCTCCCCATACTCTGAAATCCAATTTGATTTTTTAACTCGTGGAATGACTTACAATCAATCGCAACGTCTTTATTTGAAATTACCCAGTATTTTAGCGAATTTGTAATTATATGGCGTGTAATTGCCAGCGCCGTTAGTTTTGATGTATATACACATAGCCTGCAGTGTAAATGAGTCTGTTCGTGACGTTAATAAAAGAAACGCTTTATTTGAATCCACACGTTAACTGAGTCGTGTTGAGTACGTTACGAGCTCGGCGCCACAGACAATGCATCACCACATCATATATGTCAAATAATGTTTAGTATTTTTATTAAATGTCGTCCTTATTATGTTTCACGCACAAAAAGTTAGCGTATTTCACCTTCTGTGTATTTTGTATTTCGTATTGACACATCATGTGTACGTCTTTAAGAGTCTCCGAATAGAAAAAAAAAGGAATGAAAATACGACTTTACAGACGTTTGCACTTTTTCAATCAAACAGTTATTTTAGAGCATGACGATTAAAATAGGCAAACCTATTTTCGGCCGAACAAAATATTCACGTTATAAAGATGCGGTGAAAACTAATCAATTACACAAAAACTTCCGCTGACGCTGGCGCTCAATACTTCCCTCCATATCCTACCTCAAATAGTAAAAAAAATCCCATTTCAAGCACGACGTCGTGCGCCCGGTCGTACTTACGGACAATGTACAAGTCAAGTTGACTAACCCAACATTCTACCTTAATTCTAATTCCCCTTGTCAGCATCTCAATTGAGGAAGACAAGCACACAAATAGAAAATTACCTTCCTGACAAGTTATATTCTCGGCGGACACACCCCATTCATCTGAAACAACATGTTGATTGCCTGTTTTTATTATCGTTCTTCTAACTGGGAGGGAATTAACCACTTTCCCTTTAAGTGACACTAAACTGGGTAGTCGTGTCTGTGCATGGCTATGATAATGTACATAGATGTATAACAGTTGTTTTGGTCTCGGATTTGAGGTCAGATAGAAGGTTTGAAAGAAAAATTAAATTGAAATTGAATCATCCTACTTTGTATCTGAATGATCATACACGTAGTTTATACGATATTTACATTAGTAGTGTCACTTCTGAGTTATTAATATATATATATCGATATATATTTATGGTATTAATTTGTATGTCTTATCACTGTGTTAGATGTGTCAACGCGACGCTCTGTACTCTTCTAACTCAAGTGCCATAATTGACTTGATTAAAGAGGCTGTCCGTGAATGTGTTAGCTTCACACAATCAACCCTACTAAATTGAAATATCGCTGACCCATTTACGAAGATTCTATTAAGTTACGTTTCTACAGGCGCTTTCAATTTCCTTTCTGTTGCAAAGAAGCGTTTAGTTGAACAACAAATGCATCATTGTGATTGTAAACCGTTCTAAGTACGCCTGTGAATTAATTGCTGTTGAAGTGAGTGTGACATACAAATATATCCATAACTCGTTTTTACCATCATATTCCGTACTTCAGCGAAGGCGTCGTAAATCCACTGCAAAACGACACGTTGTTTTGCTGAAGTCAGAATGCCTTGTTCTTTTCAATATTTAGTATACTTGAGATTGAACTGAAAACTGTACTTACAATTAGAATTATGTTTCTGCGTATTGATCGCGCTTCTGGATATATTGATATTAGCTTAGCTTTCTAAATAAACGTTAACCTTGTTTTTCATCTGTGTGGATTGTTAAAGCAGTTGTCAACTCATCCGTAGTACCATCGATTTTCTAACATATATAGTAAGGCGACCCTTAAAATAATCGATATCATGTTTATTACAGCAAATCACGTCATAGGACACAATAGTCTGCTGTCAATACAGCATGGCTTAGTGAAGCTCACACTCTTTACATCCACAGTGTAATAGCATTCGTGAAATCCTAACAGTTTCCACTTAATACAAAATTGCTGTTTTTTTATATATATTCTATTATATATATATATGTATTTATGGGGTCGGTGTTCTATTTGTTGCAGCATCTCTCTATATATATAATAATAACTTCCAATTTCACTTTAATAACATGTAATATTGAGGTAATAGAAATGTTTGATATCTATTACTTTATGCCAGCACTTTCCAATTTCGAAATCTATGAGAGCGAGAGAGCGTTTGTGGAACCAATTATGCTAAGGGTAATTCATGTATGTATCTACAAGGAAAACCCCAACCCGTGCATAAATACAGACTGTAGACGGTCGTCAACGAAGATCAGTGTTGAGAACATAGTGGAAAATTCAATTACTTGCTTTATAGTACTACTCAATGAAAAATGCTATTTTTAAACTTGGAGATAAATTATAAAGATATGTGAAATAATATTTTGTGAATAATAAGGCCTTGAACTAACGGTGTCATTCCATACAATAGTGTTTGAATTGAACTTGGACTTTAATATCAGCGCAAATGCTACGGATTTATTAATGTTCTCAATGCGCTACCGCTGCATTTCAATTGATTTAGTTAAGTGCAAGAGTTAGCTGTAATATAGTTGCTGGCATGAACAACCCATCCGCCATGGGAGGGAGTGTATATATATACATATATATCTAGCACAAAAAAGAATTGTCCTTTGTACCATTGATGTAGAAATGAATGTAATGCTATCCCATATTCCCATTCGTCTATTACGCCTCTGTTAGCGCCATTTGTGTTATCTGTGTCAATGTAAAGCCAATGTGTCAATGCTACTGTCCTTAATAATAATAATTCACCACTGCCATCTATAACATGCACCACCACATACACCGTGGTTAATGTAATAATGCGCACATAATTGCCGTATTTCTATTTCATGTAATTGTAACTAAATAACTAAATTATTGAAGATATATTATTATTATTATTATTAATACTATTATTATATTTGATTGACAAGTTCCGCAGTGATTGTACATTGTAACATCAATAAGAGAATTAGGGCAACTTAAATAAAAACACAAAAAAACAACAACAACAACAACTGTAACATGCTGCAGAATTTATCTCCGGGTCACAGTGATACAGACAACGTGTGTGACAACATACGACGTTAGTATTATTATCCCCGGTGCACAACCGTGTTAGATGTATGTTTATAATCGACGCTCAATTCGCCTCCACGTACGGGTGCATGTTTTATATATATGCATTGTTCAATTTGTTAGAACTGACATCATTAAAATCGACACATTACGCCTACACGTGCATGTATTTGGTACGCACAATATTGGCTAAAATACAGAATTTGCAAGTAGTTAGGATTGCAAATGTACAATGCAACATAGATAGATGTGTGCAGAGATGCCGGAAACCAAATGAATAATTCTCCCCAGCTCAGAATAAATTAAATATAAATCCCAGATGATAGCGTCAAATAAAAAGTTGACATCATCTTCTGTAATCCCCCAAAAAGATAATATTCCTTTCATACTACTGTAACATCTTCAATTGACATCATCAAGATTACGTGGAATAAATCTTTCCTGTGTTACATCTCGTGAAATATAGCAGAATATTAATCGACTATCTGTTTCAGAGTAGTTATAATGTAGCTACTTTTACCATCTGACTGGCAACAAACTGTTCTCTGGAACGTTCTTTTTTTCACCATTCATATAAATATTATATCAAAACAGGAGACCGCGGGATAGTTTTAATTTCTAATTTTAAACATTTATGTTCCGCTTATGTTACAATCCCTTCATAACGAGATAAACAATGTATACGGGGTAACTATCTCGAACTTGTTCTCCTCAATGGTTGCTATGTCTGAGTAATGACCTTTCAAATATTATAGGTGAAAAAATCTCCATACAATAGACACTCACTGATGCAGTATGAAAGTGGTTAGTTTGGTTGAAAACGTGTGGTCGTGAACACAAACTAGCGTAACACGTGTACAACTCTGGTCTATTGTCACGACATTTTGTTATATTCGACGTAGCCCTGCAAACGCGGATGATCGATATTCCAAAGATATTAATTGTCGCTTTTATAAATTTCACATCGTTTTTTCTCAATTGCATGAGAGCTTCAAACTATTATCACTGTATGCAAGTATTTCTAATTGCATTACATAAGTAGTCCCTTGAGTTTAAGTCCAAAAAATATAAAAAGTTTCAAATAAACTTCAGAGATAAGGCTCAATAACTTCATAAATCATGCTTGACTGAACTGTCCTCCATTCAGTCATCGTGAATCGGATAAAAAAATACACGTATTTATGACGTTTGGAAATGATCGTAGAAGGCATGCCGCAGATAAAACAGTATTCGTTAGAATAATATGGCCGCTAATCGGCTACATTGAATTCTGTCATAAAAACAAAATGACGTGCATTCTGATCTCATAATGTTTAATGTTTGAACGAAACCCGCTCATAAATAACCGAGATCCGGTTCCGAAATCGCAACAATGCTTGATTTTAATGAACTTTATCATACAAATGACCGCCATTCGGTGACCTTGAAATAATTTGCGAAACAAATGAATTTTTTTATGTATCCTGAGGTGTATGTGTGAAGTTTAAGCAAGATAAGTCAACGCATCTTATTTGAATAATGCCTATTTTTGTCAGACAGAATCACATTTTTAACACTAATCCAAGAACCTGTGTATTTCACATTAAATCTATAATTGTTATTCTAACAATGATCATCAAAGGTCAATGTGCAAGTGTATTCAAAGGTCAACCTGCGTAGTAGAAACAGCGAAAATACCCAATTGCTAAATCCTATACAAGCTGCAAGATACGTGATTCCTCCTTAAAATGGTAAAGCCTTTGGGGTCCATATATCCTTTTTTCACCGCTTTGATCAGGTTTATCAGTCGTTCATTTGATGTACTATTGAACATATTCTAGTGCCTTTCATGAAGAATTTCGACTCGGCATGGTATGTAATTCCTCTTTGCAGATAGCGCCGAGACAATTTTATTCGAATGAAATTTTTGATTCGAG